TATACGTCAGCTGCTTAACTGAGATTGGTACCGGAAGAGCAATTCTCGTAATGTCAAATATTTTGGGCGCTAATTGATGCAATTAACTGCATAGCTTAACATGGCTCCAGTCTTACAAATTGGTGGGTGGTAAGCCAGAAAAAAAAACTAAATCTATAGTAATAAGATAACCAAATGCTGATGTGTATTGCATTTCAAGAAGCAGCATAAATAAACGAGTCTTCAGACTATAAGAAACAAACCCATCATTGCCAAATCGGTGACAAAATGAAGCATGACTGACCTAATACAGAGGGCAGTTTCGCAGCAAACATTTCAACATTAGCTGCCAAATCAGTACTAAAATTAAACAGAAGCAAGGCATTTATTTGTTTCTCTTGATCGCACGCCTTCCCTGGCCCTTCTTTGGCGGACCCTTCCCACGACGTTTAAGCATTTCCAGCTTCGCGAGACGCCTGCACAGAGAATGGTAATGTTAAGATATGTTTGTCACGAAAACACTCCTAAGCACCAAAACAACCTTCCTGAAGGAAATTCCTAAGTTTACGGCTATTATGCATGAAATTTCAGTGATGGAAGTGAGTAAGCAAGGGGAGGGGGGCTGAAAATGGTCAGAACAGGTGAGCTGCTATAATTAATTGACGCATTTCACAATGTTACAACACGGGAGCGCATAGTAACTATCAACATTTGCTATCAGAACATGATTTTTGCCCATGGTGTTGCTTCCATCTTGGTTATGCAAATTTCCAGTGAAATGGAAAACAATGCACGTGCTAGTAAGGAACTGGTCAAGATTGTCAATCAATTTGGCCTATGAAAACACCGCAACATCAGAGAATTCAGCATGAGTTTTGTTAGCCCAAGTTCTGCTCATGTAATATTATTTTTATTACAATTCAGGTCATTACAGTCGATTACCAATGAATTCATTCTGAAGGGAGCAATTATGCTTGGCTTTTCAGTAGCCAAGTCGGCAGTAGGCAAGGATTGACATATCATACATATTTGAAAATCATTACTCCGAGTACTTGTAACAACAGAAACACAATAGCACAAGAGCCATAAAATATTACATACACATTCCGAGCAAGGAATGAATTACTCCTAAATCAGACAATCTAAGGTGGCCACTGCAACGCCAAATAGAACAATCTAAGGTGGCCACTGAAATCCTAAATCAAATAATCTATGCATCTGGCAGGACTTGCTTTTTCATGCGCATAATCAGCACTCCAGTTACCTCTTGACTAACTGATCACAAGAGCTGACCTGACTGAAGCAAATGCACAAAGTACTTGTGGGTGCAAGATAATATTTTTACCTAACGCCCTCTAGCATGGCCACAGATAAAAAAGATGCCACCTATACATAACAACTAATTTCCCAAATGCAGGCATACCAAATTACCAATGAGAGAGATACATGCAAGTACAGACCAGAATGCCAGAGAGTTGCAAAACAATAACTAAACACAATCCCTATCTAGATCCAGTCATCCTAGATTTGGACAAATGAGGCATAGAGCAGCAAAATGAGATCGATATTTATGATATTCACAGCAGTGATCCAAACCCTACTGCTGAAAGTGGCCCTTTCTATACTACAAACGACACCTGCGCATGACCATTGACAGCGGTCAATAATCACAATAGCAAACTAAGAACAATGACAGGGTCTGCAAGCCTGCAACCACAAAATCAGGTATGTACCGACACAAATCACCACATATTTGCTACCATGAATCACAGAGCTATTAGCGCGGGCAGGCAGGCGGCCAAGTGCGTAGACATCAGTGAACAAGGAAATACTAGCACCGAGCCACCACCTGACGGCTCAGCGAGGCGGCGGGGCATATCAACAAACACGTCGCGGGCGGGCGTCAACCACGCCTCCCTGAGAACGAAGCATAACGACGAACAGGTGGCGGGCGAGCGCAAGCCCACGACGATGGAAGCAACAAGCAAAATACTAAGAGGCGCGAGGCGGGCGCGGGCGCTTACTCTTTCTCCTCGCGCGCCATGACTTCGGGGTCGTCGCGCTTGATGTCGTCGGGGTACCACTGCGCGACATGCTCGCCGATGAGCTTCTTCCGCAGCAGCTTCGTCGCCGCGCGCTTCCCCAACGGGTTCACCGCGTGCCCGAAAATCGCGGCGCGCGCCTCCGCCGCCCCCGCCGTCACCGCCGCCGTCAGCAGCTGACGAAGCCCGCCCGCCGCCGCGCTCATCTTCCCCTCGCTCTCTCTCGGTGGATCGGATGCTCCCGAACTCGGCTACCGACGGCCCAGGGTTTTGGGGCTGTTTGCATTGTTTTTCTTTGGGCCTGGAGGATTAGTGGGCCGGGCCAGATGAACATGATTAGTATTCTTCAATTTTTAGTGTTTCCGTTGAAAGAAGCCTATAAGGTCCAGTTCCTCCCAGTTTTCAGGGTGAAAATAAGCCCAAGCCCCCAAAAAACTCAATTCAGAAGCCATTTCTCTTTTTTCTTCCCATCACAATGAAGAGAAGCCGGGGAAAGGCACTGCTGTAAAAACTACTTTCAAAACTTCTTCACATGGAATTTCAAAAAAAAAAAAAACTTCTTCACATGGAATCGGTAGTTTGTCGTCGAAGTTGTCCTAATTTACAAGGGAAATGTCTTCTTGTATCGTTTGAGTCATCACATGCTCATGTGCTCCGTCTCATTATAGAGTTTTCCCAAGCACTACACGCCAGTTGTCCCACCGCACACCGTCTCCGCCTACCCTAGTCTTCCCCGAGGAACCCCTCCGGCGAGCATCATCGTCATTGGTGTCGGGTAGTCGCGTTCGTCTCCGTCTCCGGTCCAAGTAGGCGTACCTGCTCCTCTTGTCCCACCAACGCCGGCCTCTACTCTTCCCCACCCAGTGTCGTCGTTGCCCGCCCTCTTGACGCTGCACTCCTCTGGTGATGCCCGCTTTATTGATAAGCACTTCACATGTCACTCTACTGAACTTCTTCATAGTTCATACCATATCATCTCTTTCTCTCCCCCCCCCCCTCTCCCTCTCTCTGGCTAAGCATGAGAAAGAATAGCTTCACAATGGCAGTTGTGGCATGTGGCCTAACCGCCTGTAAGTGCATGGAAGTATTTCCCAACAATGTATCCTACCTGATGATTTAGGATTAGTCGCCCCCTCTGAACACAACCATATTGTCACGATCTCTAGTTATGTTCACATCAAGACTGAAGTTCGGAAATTATTCTCCTCTATAGTCACCTCTAACAAAGCACAAAAAAGTGGCAAAACTAAGCTATGAACAAGAAGTTTAAAAAAGAAAATAAAACTCATATAGATATAAAAATTGTCAGCATGATGTAATAATATGTTCACTAGGCCAGGCGAGGTAATGTATTATTGATTCTTGTGATTAAAAAAAGGTGTTACTTTGAATGGGCCTCAACGGGAGATCGATCGTTCTTGGCATAAACTAAGTGCTTAGAAATTCTAATGTGACTAAGAACAAACAAAAACATTTTCTAAATTCCAATCTATTCGCTGTTCATTCAGTCTCCGCTGAAGATCAGTGTGGATGAGGGTGTGCATGGTCTTTCTCCATATCCCCATGTTGCACTTGTCATTTCTGTCACAAGAAGATTCTACAGTGCTGGTGGGCCTTGTGGAACAATGAAAATTATGGGTGCGCTTAGACGAAGATTACTCTTGCAGCAAACGACATGGATGATGAGGCGGTTGATTAGTGCATCTTATATATACTCATTATTTTAGGGATTCGGGAGTCATTGGAATACAACTTTTTGTTGATATTGTGTGTTTCGAGGTTGCTTACCACACACATTATGCGGTTGTTTTTAGTACAACTTTGTATTAATTCGGTGATAATTAATATGGATAGAAAGGAGTAATGGAGATAACATATTATATACGTATTTTATTTACAGATGTAAATCACGTGACAGACTTTAAAATAAAATTATTTTATCAACAACGTATATGCCCTAGAAAAACCGCAAAAATGAGATAAAAAATTGACTGGAAATACATTTTTCCCAGCCTCGCGTGTATAGCCTTTTCACGCTGGTGTCTCGGCCTCTCGGCTCGATCTTCTCGCTCGCGAATGGCGTCCGCGTCGTCATCACTCTCCCCCACCAACCGATGGCCTCCCGCTCAGCCCGAACTTCCCTGCTCGCCACCGGCCCCGCCTCGCTTTCCAGTGCGTCGGCTAGCCGCTCTACCAGTCCTCCGCCTCCCTTTCCAGTGCGTCGGTGGCCTCGAAGTGGTGTCTGGGAGGTGTTCGACGGAATGCTCCTGCGGGTCGGGAGCACAGCTGGCCTCCCAGCCTCGCAGGTAAGGATTGGTCTGTTCCTCTGTGCATTATTGCAAATTACAATGGCGTCTGAGTCAGAGTCTGAGGTTGAGTAATCCAAGGACTGGCTGGGCAGCCATTCGGACGTTGCCCAACTTCACTTACAGTTACAGAATTAAACGCTGGTGGTCGTTAAAACAGCGAGGAGTTAACAAAGGCATATGAAAGAGAGTAGACGATGCGATGCCAATGAAACAAGTGTGGGTTTGGTGCTTGTGCTTGCCGTTGCTTGAGAATTTGAGATGCCTTGGTGTCTTCTTCAACTTGTCACAGCGGTGCCTGTTTCTAGAAAAGAAAAGGATAAGAATCAAATAAAGGAAAACTCCACCAGCAGCTGCTAGCTAGTAGAATCAAACGAAGGAAAGGAATGCTCCACCAACAGCTAATGGTTGATCCCAGCCTCTCCTCCCACGACATCTTCCCTGCACGCGCCTACATATACCCACTCCACGCAACCAGCTCCGGCAAAACAATATAGAGAAAAGGAACTCCGGTCGAATTCCGTCGCAACTCGATCATCGTCGTCTTCGCAGCAGGGAGCCACGCCGGATTCGCATTCGTAAGTAGTACATACATACTTTTTCATGCTAGTCCCCAAACTTTTGCAACAAGAACTAACATCTGCATCTCGAAATGGTTTCAGCTGGCGTTGCGATGGACTTCGCCGTGGACGCTGCGCTCTGGGTGTTGGGCAAGGCGCTGGCCCCGGTCACGGACGGCCTGCTGGAGTCATGGGCGGCCAGCGCCGGGCTTGGCCACAACATCGACGCCCTCAAGATGGAGCTCCTCTATGCGCAGGGGATGCTCGACAACGCGCAGGGCAGGGAATTCCGCAGCCCCGCGCTCAAGGAGCTTCTACACAAGCTCGGGGAGCTCGCGTACGGGGCGGACGATGTGCTCGACGAGCTCGACTACTTCCGCATCCAGGATGCGCTCGACGGCACCTACCACGCCGCCGCCGACTTGGATGCACAGGGCTGCATTGATGGCCTCCTCCTCAATGCTCGGCACACCGCCAGGGACACTGCTCACAAACTCAGGCTCTCGGCCTCATGTTCGCGTGGTGCAAGCGCAAGCCATGGTGATCCTGACGATGAAGCAGAAGGTGGCAAACAAGGATGCCTATGTAGCATTCGCACTCGCGGCAGGCATCAAATCAGCTCCCCACCAGCGTCACCAACCAACAACGGTGGATGCATTTCCAAGGTCGCTTCTCGTGCTCGCAGCACTGCCCACATTATCAGTAAGAACTTGACATGCTACTCCTTCCCGTCCGTTCACGATGATGATGCCATGTTGGAATCGTCCAACATGGCAGCGAGTGGACGGCGGTTCCTTTGTGGCGCCTGGAAGTCCAAGGCAGTACAGACAAATCATGTAGGGCAAACTCCAAAAATGGAATTTGATAGGGTGGGGATGTCCCAAAAGATGATGGAAATAGTGGAGCAGCTGAAAGCCCTATGTGGAAAGGTCTCCACCATCCTCAATCTAGAGCTATTGGGTTCTAATCGTACCCCTAACCAAGACACTACCATGAACAGACCCAAAACCACCCCAAACATTGTAGAGCCTGAGTTATTTGGGAGAGATAGTCTGAAAAAGAACATCGTGGATGATATTACACATGGTAAATATTGTACAAGTGAACTTACTGTGGTTCCACTTGTTGGTCCGGGTGGTATTGGGAAGACAACACTCACACAACACATATTTAGAGAACTAGAGAGTTCTTTCCAAGTTTCGGTTTGGATATGTGTCTCTCTCGATTTTAATGCAGATAGGTTGCTACAAGAGATTGTGAACAAGATCCCTAAAGTAAATGGTGAAAAGGTTAATACTAGCAACCAAGAGTTAATTGAACAAAGGTTAAAATCTAAGCGGTTGTTGCTTGTTTTAGATGATGTGTGGACATATCATGAGGATGAGTGGAAAAAACTATTAGCTCCATTAAAACATAACAATGGAGACAAGGGTAATGTGGTTATAGTCACTACACGAATTCCAAAGGTAGCAAGTATGGTCACCACAACTAATTCTTCAATCGACGTGGAACGTCGAAGTCATGGGGATACTATGTCTTTCTTCGAAGTATGTGTATTTGGTGACCAACGACCATGGGAAGACCACCCTGAATTACGTGATGTTGGGAATACAATAGTAACAAAATTGAAAGGTTTCCCTCTTGCAGCAAAAACAGTTGGTAGATTACTAAGAAACCAGCTTACCTTGGACCACTGGACAAGAGTTGCAGAAAGTAGAGAATGGGAATTACAGACCAACGACGTTGACATTATGCCTGCCCTAAAGCTTAGCTATGATTTTCTCCCTTTTCATCTACAACAATGTTTTTCCTATTGTGCATTGTTTCCAGAAGATTATGAATTTGGTAGCAAAGAGTTGACTCACTTCTGGATAGGACTAGGCATTATAAGGTCACATGATCAGGCCAAAAGAACAGAAGATGTTGCACTGTGCTATTTAAATGACTTGGTAAATCATGGATTCTTTAGAAAGAATGAGAAACAAAATGGTCCTCGTTATGTTATTCATGATCTACTACATGACTTGGCTGTGAAGGTTTCATCGTATGAATGCCTTTGCATATATAGTTCTAACATAAGGTCCATACAAATTCCTGCATCCGTACGTCACTTGTCCAACATTGTAGAAAATACTGATGTCAAAGATATAATCACTTTTAAAGAATACAACAGTTATTTGAGTGCACTAGGTAAAAGATTGAAAGTTCAGAACTTACGCACTTTGGTGCTGTTTGGTGAATACCATGGAAACTTTGCCAAAACTTTTAGGGGTTTATTTAGGGAAGCTAGAGCCTTACGCACTATTTTTCTGTCTGGTGCATCGTATTCTGTGGATGATGTGTTGCTGGACTTTTCAGAACTTGTCCATCTCCGCTACCTAAGGATCAAATCAGTTCGTAATAAGGACATGTGCTTACCTAGTGCATTGTTTAGATCTTATCACTTAGAGGTAATTGATCTTGAAAGTTGGGGAGGTAGCTTTGGTTCAACAAGTCAAATGAGCAGCCTTGTAAAATTGCGTCATTTTGTTGTGCCGGAAGATAGTCTTAAACTTCACTCTAGCATATGCGAGGTTGGGGAACTTAAATTCCTAGAGGAACTGAGGAGATTTGAAGTGGGAAAAGAAACCAAGGGTTTTGAACTAAGTCAACTAGGAGAACTGACAGAGCTTGGAGGATCACTTGGCATTTATAATCTCGAAAAGGTGCAGACAAAAGATGAGGCAAATGAACTAAAACTGATAGACAAAAACCACTTGCACAAGTTAATACTAGAATGGTGTATTGATAGACCTAACAGGAATGCAGAACAAGAAGAACATGTCATTGAAAGTCTCGTACCACACAGTAATCTGCAAGACCTATGCATTAGAGGACATGGAGGTGCTAATTGCCCATCATGGTTGGGCAGGTACCTCTCTGTTGAAAATTTAGAATCTCTTTCCCTATGTGACGTATCTTGGAGCAACCTTCCCCCTTTAGGGAAGCTGGGGTTCGTTGCTGGTGAAGGGTGGCAGAGTCATGTCTCAAGCCAAAGTTTCCATATTCTGAAAAGGCTAGAAATAGTCAACATACCAAAACTACAAAAATGGGCTGGAAACGAACCTTGTCATTTGTTCTCCGTTCTAGAGGTGGTCATCTTTATAGATTGTCCTGAACTCGTCGAATTGCCATTTTCACACCCTACTAGCCATCGAGCAAAGCATGATGAGAATATGTCTTGGTTTCCTAAACTACGGGAGCTCAAGATTATATGCTGCCCCAAATTGGCGTCATTGCCTCCAATCCCTTGGACTCAAGCTCTGTGCTCTGCTGAGATAAGGCAAGCAGGATCAGTATTTGAGCAGCTAGTTTACCCAAAGAACTACGGAGCGGAATTGAGTTTGGAAGTTGAGGGAAAAGATGGTCAGCATGGCGTGCTGTGGAATGGGCTGGCTTTCCATAATCTAGCTGATCTGAAAGAGCTGAAGGTGAAGAACTGCCCTCCCCTGCCACTGATTCACCTCCGAAAGCTAAAATCTCTCAAGTCCCTGAGGATAATCGGTATGAGCAACTCGTTGATGCTGTTTGAAGGTGAAGGCTATAATACTGAATGCCCGCTTCCAGTTGAACATATAGGGATCAAGGAGTGTGGTGCTGATGGGAAGGAACTGACACAAGTGTTATCTCATTTCTCGAAGCTCACTGAGTTGCGAGTGAGAAGTTGTGAGAAGATAACAGAGCTTGGCGTGGAGGTGCTTCAGACAGAGATGACGACATCATCTCCATGTAATGAAATTGTAATTGAGTATGCACAAGAAAGGCACCATCAGACAAGAGGGGAGGAGGTAGAAGATGCAGCAGCAGGAGGAGGAGGTCTGCTGCTGCTGCCTCGGCAACTAGAGGAGTTGAGCATCATTGAGTGCAGAGAGCTGCGGTTACTCTCCGGTTCACTTGGGAATGACAGCAAACACGGAGGAGGGCTCCAGAGTCTTTGTCCTCTCCAAAGTCTCTGCTCCCTCCGCTCGTTGGAGATATATGATTGCCCCAGGTTCCTCTCGTCCTATTCGTCCTCCGCCTCATCTTGTTTCCCCTTCCCGACCTCCCTGCAACAACTCATGCTGTGGGGCGTGGAGGGCATGGAGACGCTGGTTCCCCTCTCAAATCTCCTCTCTCTCACCGATTTAACCGTGCATAACTGTGGGGATCTAAGAGGCGACGGCTTGTGGCCTCTCGTCGCCCAGGGCCGACTCACACAATTACAAGTCACTGAAACCCCCAAATTCTTCACTGGTTCAGAGCCCTCACAACCGCATGACCAAGAGATTCCTTCCTCTTCATCCAAACTCGAGCGTCTCTGGACAGATGACTTGGTGGGAGTCCTTACCGCGCCCATCTGGGAACTCCTCTCTTCCTCCCTCACCAAATTAATCTTTTGGGGGAACAAAGAGGTGGAGCGCTTCACAGAGGAGCAAGAGGAGGCCCTTCGCCTCCTCAGTTCCCTCCAGGAACTCGAGTTTTTGGGCTGTGAGAAGCTGCAGCGCCTCTCTGCAGGGCTGACCAAGCTTGCCAGCCTCAAGATATTACGCATCTGGTGGTGTCCAGCCATTCAATTGCTGCCCAAGGACGGACTACCAAGTTCTCTGCAAGAATTAGACATCAGAGACTGTCCTGCCATCAAATCTCTGCCCAAGGACGGCCTGCCAAGTTCACTACAAAAATTAGAGGTTCCTTATGGCATCAGCGAGGAGCTTAAAAGGCAGTGCCGCAAGTTAAAAGGAACCATTCCAATAATCATAGACTACAACAACGACTACTAATCCAAGGTAACAGACATTTGATGGCTTGTACTCATTACACACTTTCCCAGCCTCATATTTATGTTACTTTCCATAATTAATCTCGTAATTAAGCATCAGACTAGTTGTCTTTTTGTTTGCTTCACCGCAGTCACTGTCCTGCCATCTGTATAATCCACTTGTTTTAATCTTTTGAATGTGCAGGGCTCTTCTTGGATTTGTACATTCTTCTAGCCTAGTCTTATAGATCCAATTCTCTTTCTATCCAAGCACAGTTCATGGAGTTGCTGCCCTTACAAGCATGAAGAAGGTTTCAGATTATTATTGCACCCGCACATTATTATACTGGTTATGGTTAGTATATATACGAATAATCACCCCCTATTCCCGTACACCACTTCTTCAGCACTGTTTACAAATTTGACCATCGTTTATTGTGATGTGTCTTGTTATTTTGGTTACCTCGGGAAGTTTCCATTTCATATGTTTCAGTTGTTCTACTTACTGTTGGAACTGAACAAATGCTTCCTTGCTTGCATCCATCCCCAACTCCCACCACTTTCCATCACATTTTCCTGATCCCACACACGTCAAACATTTTCATTTTAATTTTATCTGTTTCGCTTACCGCATAATCTGAACAATGTGACTTTCAATCTACCATTCAGGCCTCTGCTATGGAGCTCTAAAAATTGTTCTACCTTTGAAGAACTTTCTGCATGCACAATTTTGGACGCCATGACCTTGTGTGGCTTCTCCTACATAACTATGGTATGTATATGTAAGAACACCACTTTACCCCTCTGGAAATTAATCCATGGTGACCCCACACGTTGAGACATTTTGGTTTACTTTGGATTACATGTTACTGCATAGTCTGAATGATGTATGTTATCTTTCAATCTACTTCGCAGGGATCTGTCTTGGAGTTGTACATTCTTATAGCCTTGGAGAGCTTTCTCCTTCTACGAAAAAAGCTAAAAAAAAACAGAAAAAGAAAAAAGAGAAAAAAAAGAAAAAGAGAAAAAAATAAAAGGAAAAAGGAAAAAAAAGAAAAAAAGGAAAAGAAAGGAAATGGTTTTAAAAAAGAGAGTAAAGCTTTCCATCTGTTCAGTGTCCGCACGTGTGGTAGTCTTGTGACTTTATGTGAGGTGTTTGTGTAGTTGTTGTACGTTCTTTCACAGCAAAAGTAGTAATTTTAATTGTGTAGGGTTGTTTGTCTGATAGTTGTGTTGCATATTTGGAAATCAACATGGCAGTAGTAGCTCCCAACAAAAGGAAAGGGAAATGGAAATTTGCAAGGGAAAGAATTAAATCCATTATGTGGTTTCTGTGTGGTATCTGTATGAAAAGGGAGAAATATTAACTGATTATGAGTTCTGGGACTGAGAGAAGCTGCAGCGCCTCCCCGAGGGGCTAACCAAGCTTGAGATTGCAGATCAGAGACTGTCCAGTTGCTGCCCAAGGACATCCTCCTGAACCCCTCTACAAGAATTTGTGATCGGGCGTTGTCTGTTTTGTCAAATCTCTGCCCAAGGACGGCCTGACAAGTTCTCTATGGAAATTAGAGGTTTTTAATGGCATCAGCGAGGAGCTAAAAGGGAAGTGCCGCAAGTTAAAAGGAATCATTCCGATAATCAAAGGCTACAACTAATCCAAGGTAACATTAATTCCTTGTTTGTACACATTCCTAGTTCCCACCCACAAATTTACATTACTTTCCGTAGTTATCTTTTTGTTTGCTCCACCGAAGTCACTGTTGTGCCATCTGAATAACCCACTTGTTCTAATCTTTTTTATGTGTAGGGCTCTTCTTGGATTTGTACATTCTTCTAGCTTAGCCTTGTAGACCCAGTTCTTTGTGTCCAAGCACAGTTCCAGAACTTGCTGCCCATGAAGATCCCCCTTTATAGCACCCATCCATTGCTAAACTGGTTAGTATATGAATTATCGTCCATTACTCCCATACTTCACTTCATGCATTGTTTACAAATTTAACCCGTAGTTGTGCCGTGTGGCCCGTGTCTCGTTAATTTGGTTACGTCGGAAGTTTACCCTTCATGTGTTTTGAGTTGTTCTGGTTACTACCGAAATTGAACAAATACTTCCTTGCTTGTGTCCATTCCCAACTCCCACCACTTTCCATTGATTTTCCATGATCTCATCTCTCTCAAGGATGGCCTCCCGAGTTGTCTCCAACAATATGGGATCTCCTACTGTTAGACGACCTCCTAAGTTCACCCGCATTACATGTCTGTGGTGACAGCAGCAAGGAGCTAAAAAAGGCAGTCCAGCAGGTAGAAGGGAACAATTCCAATAATAAGAGATGTTGAATTTCAATCAATTGTAACAAACAAGTTATTTGTTAGAACTTCTGATCGGTTCCTACCCAAATATTTCTATTGTGTTTACTAATAAATTAAGTTCGTAAGCACCAGAGAAATTCTCTTTATGTTTGCATCACCACATTATTACAATTTTCATCTGACTAACCCACACATGTTAATATTCTGTATGTGCAGAGCCCTTCTTGGATGCGCACATTCTTCTAGCCTTGCCTTGTAGACCCAATTATGTCTTTCATGAAGTTGGCAATCCATGTGTAAATGCCTCCATGTGCACCTCCATGTACATAAACTGGTTAGTGTATGCATAGTCACCTGCTTTATAAGTTTAATCCATACGTAGCAGTTCTGCACGTTGTTTGCCTTTCATGTGTTTTGAGTTGTCATGGACCATTACTGAATACTAAAGTTCAGTTTGAACAAATGCTTGCTCATTTTTATCCAACCCTTTCCACCAATTTCAAGGGTTTTTAGATAATGAAAACTTTTATTACGCCTATCCCCTGCATCATAGATGCATATATGGCCTCACTTAATCTGAACCATGTCGTTTTCAACCTACTTTGCAGGCCTCTGCCATGGAGTCGCAAATTCTTCTGCCCTTGCATTCACACATAGTGCGTGCTTCATTTCTTCGGGTGGCATCACCTCCCTGTGCAGATATGGTATGTATATGCAAGTCCACACTTTATACCTCATAAAGCTAATCCATGATATTTACCTTGTTTCTTCATAAGCCACAGGTCACACCCAAGTCATATTGCTTTGGTTGAGATTTCCTTATAACAACAAAATGTAAAGTGTTTCTTACCTCATTTAAATCTACTTTGCAGGGATCTGTCCTGGACTTGAGCTTTCTCATAGCCTTGTAGAAATCTCTTCATTCTTCTGGCCAAAAAAAAAAAGAAAAAAAAGAAAAGAAAAAAGAGAAAAAAGAGAAAAAGGACAAAGGAAAAAAGGAAAAAATAAAAAAAGAAAAAGGGAAAAAGAAAAAAAGGGCAAAAGGAAAAGGAAAGAAAAAAAAAGTTTTTTACCTAAAAATCCAAACATTCAAAGTTAACACATATTGTTGTGTGGTACCTTTAAAATGGGTAGTTGTCTCATTGTATCATGTTCTTTCAAGAAAAAAAAAGGTAGCGGCATTGTTGGATTTCGAGTTACAAACTTTCTTACTCAGAAATAGGACCGGTTGCCTGATAGTCGTGTTTAAAATTGGGAAACCAACAAGGGAGTATTAGGTTCTTGTAAAAGAAAAGAAAGGAAAAAAGGGAACAAGAGAACCAAAAGAAAGAAGAGTAAAACAGGGAAAATAGTAGCAGACTCCATTGTGTTGGATTAATGAAGTGTGCGCCCTGCAGTGTGCTAGACTGAAGCTGAATTAATAAGGTATGTGTATTGTGTTATTTGTAAATTACGAAACGCCATTCAGTTATATGATTAAAACCTATTAAAATTACACAATGATTTATTTTGTAGATCAGCCTCCTTGGAAGCAAAAGTATGTGCAGAAGTTGTGGTTAGTTCAGGTTGTCTTCTGTCACTGCAATGGCCATAAAAGTAACGGTACTGTCCGGTGAATGCAATCTGTTCCAAGCGCTTTTGTATCAAAGCCAGGATTATATGGTTCTTGAACTGCATGCGCACAATGGTTAGTACATTTAGATTTTAGTTTATCTTTGAAATTCTCACCTTGTGTGACTTCCTTTATGACTTGTTCTGTACTCTTGCTTTGCTGCAGTGAACTGAAACATCTTCAGCTTAGACTATCCGATCAATCGTGAAACACTGCCATGAAATCCGACCAGGCCAAAATCCTCCTTCAGATGAAAGTAACGGTATTGTTCGGTGAATGCAATCTGTTCCGGGCGCTTTTGTAACAAAAAAAAGGGCAACCTGGTGCATGTAGCTCCCGCTTGCGCAGGGTCCAGGGAAGGGTCCGACCACTTTGGGTCTATAGTACGCAGCCTTTCCCTACATTTCTGTAAGAGGCTGTTTCCAGGACTTGAACCCATGACCTCATGGTCACAAGGCAGCAGCTTTACCACTGCGCCAAGGCTAAGCCAGGATTATATAATTCTTGAACTGCGTGGTGCACAATGGTGAGTACATTTAGACGTTAGTTTATTTCAGAAATTCCTTGCCTTGTGCATCCTTTATGACTGTTATGTTCTGTTCCGTTGCTGCAGTGAACCGGATCATCTTCAGCTTGGACTAGTTTAATCATGAATCGGAAAATGCGACCATGAATATGCGATCAAGCAAAACCTTCCTTCATATGGTGTGTGATGTAGTCCGATCTAGTGTTGTTCTCAGTTTTGGTATCATAATGCAAAGTATTTATCTTAGCAAAATGGCGAGAAGTGCTTACAGTGTTTGTTGACAGCCTCTTTATTAGCAGATAAAACATGGAAGGTACCGGCAAAATGGTTGGCATTTTCTTCACAAAAGGAAAATGCTGCTCATCTGGTTTGCATGGCGTCTTCAGTGCCGCGCTCTGGAAATCCTACTCTGCTGGGCTCTCTTGAGAAAGGGAAACGAAGGGAAAATGTGAAAAACCTAATAAGGGAAGAAAGAGAAGTGGGAAATATAACATATAAAAGCAACTCTCCATCTACTTACACTTTGCACAAGTGGGCTGAGATGTGCGAAATGCGGAGAGCTGAGGACCCATCCCTC